TACTTTAATAGAAGAGGTTTCAAGATGAGACACATAAAAAATGCCTGATTCTCATTTTTCTCGTGCTAGTTGGAGAGGGGACATGACTTGGCCAGCAGCTGCCTGTCCCTCCCCTTTGCTTCCCTTTGTTTCCCCCTTGTCTCCCAAAGGACTAGGACCATTTGTTTGGAGGTCCCTTTTGGCTATCTAGCAATGTTCTCCTTGGTTATCAGGCCACCACTCCATCCCAACATGAATTCGGCCAGATAGTCAGTGTGGCGCCCCTCCCCATTCCTGACAGATAGACATATGGTTGGCTTTTTGAAGGGAGGGGCTAAGATCAGGAAGGGAGGGATCTAGGCCCCTTATTTGCATGTCCAACACTCACAGGAAGCCTTCCAGAAGATTCCCTGCTTTCAGCCCTGCCGCTAACTGACCCGACACAGGCCCTGTTAAAATAAAGATTCACTTTATTTGGCTGTTCCTGTAAACCTGCTTGTGATTTTTCTCTTGGGTAGTGTGGGCTCCAAGTAGTACACTCCAAGAAGTGTAAGTCTACTTGGGATTCTTAGGAGAGACATGAGAGACTGTGCGGTCTTTTCAAAAGAAAGAGCAATAAACACTAATAGTGTAAACAGCACTGCAAAATAGAACTTGAAAAGTTGAATATTTTTCCTCGTAGGGATAAGTAATATCTCCAAACATCTTTCTCCAAGCACACAACCAACACTTCTTCTCCTCAGACTAAAAAAAGTAAAAGTATATGCAGAGGAGATGGCAGTTTGAGACAAATGGACCCCTCCATCTTCTTGGAGCTAGCTTTGAATAAATCCTTTTTTTCATTTTTACCAAAATATGTGACCTCCTTTGATATGGTCAGTGGCGAGCCAGCAAACCTAAACATATGAACCTGAGGGATGGATATCAATAGATGTGAACACCAGGGACTCCAGAAACCACCAGCCAATGGAGACCAGCACCTGGTGGAGTCAACCTCCGGTGCCTAGCACACCAGATGGTGATGATCGGCACCAGCAGTGACCAGAGGCGGGCTGTGTCAACTGTTGGCATGAGGCATTATCTGGTGACATTGAGACTGTAGCAGAGCTTCACTTTGCCCATTCATGATTTCCATCTGAATCAAGCAAAAGAACCCCAGGCTGACTGGCAACAAAGAGACGCAGAAAAGAAGATAAAGTTTGTAAGAACAGCTGCCGATAGATCCGGTTCATAAGAACAGGCCTGGGCAGCTGTATTCTATGCTGTTCCCAAGTGCTGGAGAAATTCCTTCCTTCATTCCCAGAAATGCTCTGCTCTGCCATGGATAAAGAACTTACTGTTCTAGAAAAGGTTGAAACTTCAGTTATTCGACAAGGGTTCCAATCATGAACAGGGGCCCTGCCATGAATTGGGGCTGTAAGATGAGGTAAGGAAGGGGCAGTGGGGGACGGGACATGCAGGCACCCACAACCCTCTGCTCCAGGGCCCACTAAGCCGGAAAGCTATAGCCAAATGAGAGATTGCAGCTCCTTGTAATTCCTCACTCTTAGGAGTAGGGGAATACATACCTTAAGTACTTACAATGCACCAAGAATGTTTCATTGGGTACAGCAAAGTGACTCAAAGCTCTAACTTTGGTGTTAGACCTCTGCAGTTTCTCCTTGGCCTCACCTCCAACTTACTGTGTGATTCTGGGCAAGTTACTTAACCTCTCTGCGCCTTCTTGATAATTGTGGATAATAATAGTTCCTACCTTACAGCGTACGTGATGAGACATGCAATGCACTTGCATTGTGTAGTCAAATAATGTCAGCAATTATTGTAATTTTTATATTACTGTGAGAACGCTATTGATAAGGGAGGAGGTCAATCCTAGTGCCCGGGTTTAAGTAAGTGAGTCTGTTCATAGCATTTCTGCTAGAGCGTTCTAGAACTCAAGCCTTGCTCTTTTTCCCTGTCTCCTTGCTTCTGTCTTTACCTCCTTAAGAGCTTAGGTGCTCAACCATGGGATGCTTTTACCTACTCCCCCAGTGGCCTGTGAGATGCTTTTCTGGCAGTACTAGGGGTTGAAACCAAGGTCTTCATACTGAGCTATAATCCCAGCCTTTTAAATTTAATTTTATTTTATTTTTTCACTTTGAAGACAGGGCCTTGCTAAGTCACTAATTGCCCAGGCTGGGCTTGAACTTGCAATCCTTCTGCCTCAGCCTTTCAGAGCTCTAGAATTATAGCATGTACCGCTCCACCTGGCTGGAACCTGTTTCATGGAGAAAAACCCAAGACTCAGAGAGTAGGTGACTTGTAAGAGGTAAGGCTGGAATTCCAGCCAGTTGGGGCTGTCTTTAAGGCCACTTAGTAGGGATAGGTATGATGCGGATGGAATTTGTCCCCAGTAACCCCAATTCCTCTCCAACTTTAGGACGAAGCAGAAACTTTACCAGATTTCTGTGCTCTGGATAGCACTCTCTCTACACCCTGAGCTGGGTTCTCTACCCCACCATTGAGGCTGAGCCCTGCTGGCTGTCACACTAAACAGACCTCAAGAGACCCATTCCCCCAAGGGGTCAATGATGGCATTAATACTAATCTAGGAGCACCTGGTATCCCAAGGGAGGCCCCTGGAGGTGGGTACTGCCCTCCCCACTTTACAGGCAGCAGACTAAGGCTCACAGAAGTTCTCCAGATCTTGGCCTTGAACCCTGGGCCTCACATCCTTCTGCAGCACTTCCAGTTTCCTCTGCCCCCATCTAGAGAAGCCTGGGCTGGTACCAACCTCTGCCATTCTCTGTCCCATGCTGCCAGAGGCCAGAAGGTGGCTGGGACCAGCTAGGCTTCGAAGGGGGTGGGGACAGCAGTGTCAGAACACGTTTGGCCAAGGAAACAGAGAGCACATTGGCTGGGGATACCAGGTACCAGAAATGATACCAGGAGACTCACTATTCTAGGGCCTTTCTGTTCTTCACAGGGTGAGGTTCAGGGCAGAGAGGGAACTTGTTAAAGGACTAGGATGGGGCAGGTGGGGTCTCAAAGCTGGGTTGCCACTGTTCCTGCCAGCTTGGTTCCCTGTGGGGAGGGTAGCACTGGGTGGTGAAAATCTTCAGGAGAACCATCCTACTTTTAATCATTTTCCTTTCGTTTCTTTAGTCCAAGTTCTAAAATTCCCTGACCTCTCTGAGAACCTGACCACTGGAATTTGGAGAGGCTCTTGAAATGTGTTTCTTGTTCTCTGTGGAATCCACCAGAGGTTTGGGAATGCCGTTTAGGTTCTCCCTATTCTACGGCTGCCCTCAAAAGAGGCCACATGATGGGATAGGAAGAGCCCTGGGATAATTCCTGAGGGAGCTCTGGCATTGCCTAGCCATGCAGCCTTAGGCAAGTCACTTCTGTGGGAAGAGAGGGACAGTAAAGGCCTCTATTTCATAAACTCATTGTGAAGATCGGCTAGATGAGGCATATCCATCAGTTAGGGTAAAGCTGGGCACCATTAATTATTGGATCAACATGCACCCACCATTATGGTAGAAATGGTGTTGTCATTAGCATGTGAAGCCTCCTTGGTGGAGGTTTCTGTCTTGGTGAAGGGTGCAGGAACTAGATAGAATGGGACTGGAGGAGTGGGTGTGGAGGGAATGTTCTTTTCCTATCAGACTGGCAGTCATCCCAAGTGGCACATGCCCCAGGTGAGCTCAGGAGATGCTAGCAGTACTCTTTGTCTGCTCATCCAGGGGGACAGGATGTCCTTCAGACCCAAGTGGCCTGGATTAAAGCATGGGTCCCTGCACACCCACTCCCCTACCCCAGCACCTGGAGTTGCCTGGCAAGTACCTTGTAAGAAAAAAAAAAAAAGGAACCAAACTTAAGGAACAGTAACTTGCATTGGTATATTTAGATTTCTGTTTGTGTGAATCCAAAGTGGGTGCAACCCGTGTCTGTGGTCCTGTGGCCTGCCAATGCCCTCAGCTCTTGGGACTTCTTGGGATTTTAAGAATAATGCAATCTGGCCTCCACTGGGGGAAAATGCAGCTCAGAGAGGCAGTGAGGGTGTGAAATTCAGCAACCCACACCACTGAGCTAGGTTCAGGCCTGCTCCACGAGCAGAGGTCTCTCGTCTCTCCCAGCAAAGGCACCATCACCATGCACTGTCTAGGATGCAGCTTACACCTTCCAGGAGAAAGGAGGATGAACAGGAATTCACTGGAAGGGAAGGACAGAGCATGGTGAGCCCCACTGAGGTTCCAAGTCTGTTCCCAATTACAAGGCCCTTGAAAGGAAATAATGTGTCACCTCTTACTCTCTGCTCCCCTGTGTGTCCACATCCAGCCCTGACTGAGCTCTGATTCCAGCACCCACGGGAAGTCATTGCCTTCTGCAGATGCCTTTCCTATTTGAGAAAGCAAAAACGGTTCCCAAGAGAAGACACCAGGGCCTTTCTGATGACTGTGACTGTCAGAGTGAGGCAGAAAGGTGAGGTTATTGGTGAGGACTGTTGCTTTTATGAGGCTTCTTATCTTTATGACAAAAGTTCAAATGGGGCATGAGCTGCAGTAACAAAGACAGCACCTTCCATAAAGATTTTGATCTATGGTGTGACCCTGTGGCATCAGATGGGCATGAACCCACTGTGCTGGGGGTGGGGGGTCAGTCTGTAATCCTGAGATTCTGTGTGAAGCCAGGGCCTCATGGCACAGAGCTGGGAATCCCAGTGCAGATGCTAAGAACAATTCCCAGACCCAACTCTCCCTCTACCCCCCAACTCTGCCTGCTAAATATGGGCTTCTCTGCAGCACTGGAAGTACCATCCCTCCATACAACCTCTCTCCCTCCCACCCGGGGATTGATCCATAGGAGACCCCAACCAAAGGACTTGTGGCGAGGTTGGAATAGGCACAGTGAGGAATGTCAGAAAAGCATGGGAGTGTGCTTCCCAGGAAGGAAAACTTGTAATAGCTAAAATGTGCACAAACTGCCCCTAATACGAAGTATCAAACTAACCCAAATCAAGATAAAACCAGCCACACCAATTGCAAAAGAGGAGTTCTATATGTTCTGCAAGGTCGATATTACAATACTTTCAAGTTATATACAGAGCTAGGAGCATCACATTAAGAGGAATGAGAAGCCCCCCTATAGAGTTCAAGTCATTTGAACCTCCTCCCCACACCCTTCACATCTGGCTGTGCCACACCAAGGGTAGGTGTCAGCCCACTGCCCAAGCACAGAGTTCTTGACCCAGCACAGCCATTCTGGCTGTGGGTTGCAAGTCCAGCTGGCATGGAGTCTCAGAGGAGCCAGGATGAGCTCACTGTCCCTTACCCTGTGGGTTGTGAAAGTCAGGGCCCCAAGAAGCACAGGGGCTGCTGGGCCACAGGGTCCTGGGGCTCTCAGGCAATGGAAGCGATCTGGCTGTGTTTCTGTTCTCCGCAGAAGTGAGTCGTGGAGCAGGGCCAGCAGCTGCCCTGGTTGTGTGAGTAATAGCAGAACAAGGTGGACATCAGCAAGGCCAGAATGATAATGAAGGCCAGCACCCACTGGATGACGCCTGGATAGATGAAGGGCAAGATGAGGACAATGAGCAGGACCAGCAGGAGCAGGTGCACGGCCAGGCGCCGGGCTGCCACCTGGTTCACAGTCACCATGTCCTGCTCATCCTCTCCTGCCAAACTGGGGTGCTGCGCTGTTGAAGTAGCAGAACCCTCCAGTCCCTGAGGACAGAGCTGCACCTCCAGGCACGGCAAGACCAACCGTCCCATCACCACTTCCTGGTCTCGCAGGCTGCAGATGAGGCCCCCAGGGACGGCAGTGACCTTCCGGCACAGTGGGCAGGTGATGGACCAGGTGTCTTCTTGCACACACAGTAGGAGCTTCAGGCAGACGGCACAGAAGCTGTGCTGGCAACATAGTAGCTTGGGTGACCGGACATAGTTGTAGGGCTCTCGGCACACCAGGCACTCCAGGTCGCCCTCTGCAGAGCCTTGGTGATGATCAGTGGGTCCCAAAGCAATGGTGGTGGCTCCTGCTGCAGTAGGCTGGGGCTGCTGTGGGGACTCGGTGCAGGACATCCTGGGCACAGAGCCAGCGGAACAGAGCTGCTCAGCTCCTGGACGTGGACGGGGAGTGTCAGCCAGCGCTGCCAGGACCTGGGTGGATACTGACCCTGTGCTGGACGCTTCAAGCCTCCTTTCCACATTCGCTGACTGCCTGCTGTCAACAGCTGTCAGGCACCACTCTCCCAGGGCTCCCCAGCTTCTGTTTTGGCTTCTGTTGTCCCTTCGCTTATTATTATTTCTTTACTTGAAACCAAGGGTTAATCAGTAACTCTCTGGGGCCTGGAGACTTTGAATTGCCTGATAGAAGGGCCAAAGGGGGCGGGGCCTAATGAATCAGGACTTTCCTGTCTGGGCCAGCTCCTCCAAGTGTGCTTGCTTACGTGAGTTGTGAGATATGGTCACAAACTCCCTTCAAGCTTCCGTTCCACCTTGTAAAATGCACATTTCTAGGCCTCAAACCCGGAGCATCTGGCAAGTCAGGATGGGATTTAAACATCTGTGCAGTTAACAAACATTCTTATGATTCTGAAGTAGGTGGAACAGAGGACTCTACTTTGAGAAATGACTCTACAGACAGGGCTCAGACAAAACCTTTTGGGTATCAGGATGAGCAAGAAACAATTTGCTTGTCTTTTGAGCACATTGGCAAGCAGGGGGCCTTGTGAAAAAGAGAGAAGTGGTGAGAAATGATCAGAGTAGATGGTGAGAAAGCCAGGCTAAATAGAGAAACAAAAGTAAAAGCTACCCCAGGTCCTTAGTACCTGCTGCCTTGTTCAGTTCCTTGTGTTCACAACAGCTGTATTAATAGTTACTGATTCATGAACATCTCACTGGGATCCTGCCACATGCAAGTACCTGATAATGGTGCCTTTTTTTGGTGCCCTTGGCATGCAGCTGTATTCTCAGCCATTGTGAAAACAGTTGCTATTTATTGGGCCCACTCCAAGTGAACCCCATTCCCTGGGTCCTCACTTGTGATTCCCTGGAGCCTGGCCCCATAAGGAAGGCTTGGAAGCGTGGGCAGGGTGTGGGCAGGGTAGGCCCGCTGGCTGCTTGCCAAGGGGCCTGCTGTAGGGGCAGGACCCATCGGTGTCCAAGGTCTGGTTCCCAGTCTTGTGGAACTCAGCTTCCTTAGTTTGTGCAGATGTAACTGGCCTCTGACAGCTAGCTTGGGCTGTCAGGACTCACGTGGGGTGGCAGACAGAAGCAACACGGCAATTAGAAAACATGTCCCCTTTGTCTTGCTCTGAGTGGGACAAGGGTGTTGTGGCATGTCCACTCCCTCACAAATGCCTTAGAACAGCCACACAAATCCAGGAGGACGTGCTGAGGGGTCCCCTGCTGTTTGTGTCACAGGATGAGAGTCATTCAGTGGCCTGAAAGGGGCAGGCACTGCCAGCCTGGCAGAGGTGCCCTCCCTTGTAGAGTAATTCTGGCTCCACTTCTCCCCCTGTGACTCTGCCTCAGGAATCCAGGCCCCCCTCCTGCCCACCTCCCATTTCTTCTCAACCTTTAGCTGGCCAGTCAGTTATTTCTGTCACCTTTCCCCTCATATCAAGCTGAAGGGACACTGGATCTAACACTGGGCATCAGTGCCAGCATCCACTTCCCCTTTGTGGTTTTCACATTGAGCAACCACTGCTCCCCACTGCCACTTGGTGTGATTCTTTTGGAGTTGATCTTTCACTCTGGTGTCTGGGAGTGGGGAACTGATGGAATGTTATTCAGGGTGGACCAATCAGCAATCAGCAGATTCCATCTTACTGGCTGCAGCGATTGGTTCAGCCATAGGCACCTGATCTAAGCCCAGCCTATGAGGTTCAACTCTGAGACTTCTGTTAGAACTTGGGAGGAAAAGTGTTTCTGCTGGGTTTTCAAGCCTGAGGGTGGAACTCTGGAGTTGCCAGGACCACAGTGTGTAGAAAACATGCCCAAGAGTAAGTTTAGGGTAAAGGAAAGATGAAAAAAGAGAGTCTTTTTTTTTGGAACTGGGGATCGAACTCAGTACTTTATGCTTGGAAGGCAGGCGTCAGTCAGCACCACTGAGCTAAATCCCCAGCCCCAAGAAAAAGTCTTAATGACATTATTTGGACACCTAAATCTAGCCTTGCCTGACCCTAGCATCTATCTGTGGATTTTTCAGTTATATTAATTCATAAAAATGCCCCCGTTCATATGCATGTATGTATGTATGTATTTTGTGGTGCTGGGGATCGAACCCAGGGCCTTGTTTTATTAGTAAGTGAGTTCAAATTGAATTTCTCTCATTGCACACAAAAGACCTTTTACCAACACAGAAGTGGATGGAGAAAACAAGCCTTTACTGGCTCTCTGATAGGGTCAAATATTGATAAGACAACCAGACTTTGTACACTGCCAAGAGTGACCTAATGTCTGTATGTTACTATGCTAAAAGACACTGTTTATTTTTCCCCCACTCTAACTGGCCCTATATATTATTGTTCTTTTCTGTTTGCTAGACCCTAGAAACCCTAGAAGGGGTTGGAGTTAGGAGGGAAAAACCATGCCCAGCTATATTTATTTGTAATAAGATATCAAAAATCAGGAGGACAACCCAATAAAGTCGTGTGGCCCATGTCTTCCTTGTCTGCCTGCCAGCTCAATGGGAATCTAAAGTATCACAAGGTAGTTGGGGGAGACTAAAATCAGACCAAAGGAAGTTATTTGGGGTTAGAGTCTAAAGAACAACTTTTTGGTATTGTTGGGAAATCACCAGTAAGCAAACATATTGGTTGTAACAACCCAGGGACAATAGAAATATAAAGAAAGTAGAATGTGTTCCTTTTACTACCACCTCTGAGAAATTACCACTGTTCACAGTGGGTTCCTTCATGTTGTCATCCTGTCACCTTGGCTTGGGGACAGCTTTGTTTCTATTTTTTTTTATTCTTTTTTTTTTTTTGGTACCAGGGATCGAACTCGGGTCCTTGCACTTGCGAGGCAGGCAGTGGAACCACTGAGCTAAATCCCTGGCATTTTTTTAAATTCCTTTATTGGTACATTTTAGGTACACAATACGTTTATATTTATCATTGGGTGTTTGTACCTGTACATGATGTATCTTGGTTCTTATTTTTTTCCCCATTACCTGTGCACCTTTCACCCCCTCCACCCTTCCCTATTTACATAGATTTCATTTCCATTTTTTTCTTTTCTCATAATTTTTCCTTTCCCTTCTTTCCTTTCCCCATCCTCTCCCTCCACCCCTACAGCTTTAGACCTTTTCCTATTTCAAATTATCAATTATTCGTCTTAATCATTTTCATCCTTATTTACACTTTCAGTTTCTCACACTAGAGAAACTATTTGGTATTTACACGTGTGTGTCCTATTTATTTCACTTAAGAGTATGGCCTCAATGTGCATCCATTTAGCTATAAATGACTCTAGTTTCTCGCTCTTTATGGCTGAGTAGTACTCCATTTTATAAAAAAAACACGTCTTCTTTATCCAGTTTCAAGCTGATGGGCACTTGGGCTTTGTTTCTTAAGGTGCCTTGCCTTAATTATCATCTGTACCAACACTGTAGTTGGAAATCTGGAGAGTTTCAACTTCATAGAAGCTCAGTTTTAAATTTGATAAAATGGAGACAATAACAGTTGAGGAAATTATGGAAGATGACTTAAGCACCACCTTCCCCAGCCCGCAGCAGGGAATGCTCAGTAATTTATGCGCCTTGGTTGTAACTGACCCGGGTGTAATGGATCTTTCCTAGAGATGCGATAAGACACTTTAGCAATCTGGTCACCCAGTTTCTCAAAGAGAAGTGACTGCGGGCAGGGTCTGGGCAGAGCTTGAAACAAACCTACTATCCCAGGGAAGGTACAGAATGTCTCGAGACTAAAAATGTCTCATTCATCTAGGTTTCACTTTCAACTCCGCGTTATGTTTGCATCTGCTGTAATTTTAAAAGTCCTGAAACATAAAAGAATCCTTCCAAATCTCCAAAGAAAACATACTTACTTGTTTTAATTGCTGTATAGCTATAAACTCGTTAATTTGGAATTAAACTATTTTTTCCCTTTGAAATGCAGTCTCTTCCATCCTGAGGCTTCTCGCAGCCTGGGGTTGGGGGTGTGTGTTATATGGACTCAAGGCTGAGATGCACAGCCTGAAATGGGGTGGGTCTTCACACCAGCTGCAACTGGGGAGGCTGGAGCCAGGGATGGTGAGGGGTCTCCCCAGAAAACACACAGTGCAGATAACCATAGACCTGTAACCTAAGGAAGGTATTGCTGATCTGAGCTTTCAGTCCTACATCAAGTTCATGGGGGAAGAAGCAGGGAGCCTCAAAGTCATGAAATCAAATGGTCTGACCCATCCCTGGCCCCCCCGTGCATGGCCGGCTCATTCTTATGCCACACACTAGTGGCAGCAGAGAGCCAGGTCCCAGCCAGCTGCCCTGTTGCTCCACACTACTCTCTTCACCCTGGGCTGCTGCAAGTCTTCGCTCATACTCTTGTCCCAGAATTCCTGCCACTGTCCTCCTCAGAACTTGGCTGCAGTTATAAAAGAGAAACAAAACATTTCTTTGATTTTGTGTAGTCCTGACTTCATCTTTAACTTATTTGCCCGTTGAAACAACTCCTCCACCTTTTGGTGGAGCTGGGGATTCAACCATGGCCTTGTACATACTAAGCACACACTCTACCATTGAGATACACCACCAGTCCTGGAACCCTTTTCTTATACAACACTTATTCATGCTATATGTGATTATGGGAGTTCTGAGAAACACGGTTTGGAAAATGCTGTTGGATTGAGCTATACCATTATGAAGTTGTATTTTACTCTGCTTTCTAAAGGTTCTCATTCAATCATATTTTGCATCTGTCTGGTGGCTTTCTTCAAAGAATACTCCAAGAAATAATGTTCTGAAACCTGTTACTGCATTCACACTCAGAGATGTGGCCAGGGACACTATACATGACAGCATCATCTATATATCTGAAATTTTCCTCTAAGGGCCAAGGGCTAGAAAAAAAACTTTTGGATTCCTCAGATGGCAGTAGTGTTTGTCCACACTACTCAGATACTACAAAATTAATTTATAAAAGTTTCTGAATTACAAAATTGATTCTGCTTCCCATTTTTGCTTTGGCCACCAGGGAGCTCAACCATAACAACTGTGAAATACCACATCTGGCACGTGGTAAACAGTTCATCCCCACTCCTTAGTTTTATTTCCTG